TATAAATTCACTGTAAATCACGGCTTCTTGGGGCTTATTGCTTTATTATTGTTAGCTCATGATGCCTAATGCATTAACTAATGTTAACGAACTGTTACCACATTTGAATGTTTTACTCGCAATTCCTTACCAAAAATAAAAAACATTCTAAAGCATGAAAATAAAATATTAAACTAGAATAAAATACTTTGGCTACTTTGAGACCTTTAATAAAAGTTTGTTAGAATTCAAAATTGAAAATATTTGGAAACATGTACCATTTGTAATTATTTGTAATAATTTGAACATAAACACAACCCCCCCCCCCTTCTAAATAATAGTGAAAATATGGATGGTAGATATCTTAAGTTCATTTAAACTTAATAAATACTGTAGCTTTATCAATTCAGTATCTAAAGAAAACTTTTTAGGTTTAGTCTTTTTATTTTTTTCAGTGCAACACGTGTCAAATTTTCTTAGAATCTTCCATACTTGTGGTACAGACTTTAACACAACTGGAGCAACTTTACAGCAGTACCCATAGAACATGAACTGTGCTTCAGTCCCAAGGTGTAAATAGTTACATAATATTAAAAGTATATGTAAAAATATAATATGGATTTGTGTACCTAAAATATAAGAAAGATTCCAGATGTTCTTACCAGATTGATAGTTTAAGTAAAGGGAGTAACAGCTCTTTATCGACCTGTACAAGTCACATTCAGCTAAATAGTGCAGCTATAAAACGAGCAGGTAAAGCCTTAAAGAATGACAGAGCGCCAGAGACCTTTATAGTTTCCAGTTGTGTTTTGATTAAAAATGTGTTGTGGCATGCAAAGCATACTCTCAACAGTACAAAGAGAAGAAATAATACATACTTGATCTGAAGTATTTTGTACTATGCATTTCATGTTTGCTGTAGAAAACCATTTGTCTCCTTTATGTTGTGATGTTTCATTTTGTTAGCAGGATTTAGTAGTTATGCATTTGATTAACTATTGCATATGCACAGAAAGGTGTGGGTGAGTTAAATCCACTCCTATATGAAGTCTTCCAT